TCTGGGCCTCATGGTGGCCTCCTTTTTGGGACTGTCCAGTTCACCCAATGCATTCCAAACCTCTTCAACACAACATTTTATAGGCCTGCTCCTCCTCTCAATCTACCCATGCTCCTGTGTTGCCAGGCCAGGAATTCCCTAGCCTGGTGAATTCCCCTAGACTGGTGAATTTCCAACCTAGTCTTAAAAGCAGGGAAGTTGTTTTTGTCATATCACTGGAAAGGTGATGACGACAGATGAGTTGAGGCGGGGTTACAATCTTTCACAGTACAAGGAAGATCATCATGAGAGGACGCCAAACTTCCCATCAACATTCTGTAGCTCAGAATGATAAATATTGCTCTTTGCCGCTAGACCTTCCTTCTATAGTGACACTTTGTCAGGATACAATTACATCTGCTGTGGTCTGTCAGTCATCAAGGGGGGCACCAGAAGCTGTGCAGCCTTGATGGAAGCAAGCCATATCTCGTGGATGAATGAATACTGTACAGCAGTCTCTGCTATTCACATCCCAGGAGTGGACAGCTGAAAGGTGGATTACCTCAGCACATAGACCAAGGGGAATGGCCCCCTTCATGCCCACATCTGCGGCGGATATATCAGATTGGGAACTTAACCTAGTTCTCTCGTCTTTCAGAAACCACCCATTGAACCCATCAAGGAAATCCCCTTAGAAAATCTCCCACAAAGTAACCACCTTGCTTACTATTACATCTGTTAGCCATATCTCTGAGGATTGGCTCCTTACAAAATAGGGCTGTTAACTCAAAGATCAGGTAGTTTTTACTTCCAAGGCCATGCTTCCTTCCTATGTTGGTATTGAACCTCAGTAAAGACTTTGTGCTTCCATCTTTGTGTCCTGCTCTGAAGCACCCAATAGATATTGCTCTGCACTGCCTGAACGTCATTGAGGCCATCAGAATCTACCTCAAAGCTACAGCTACCATCAGAAATTTGATCCCTATTCAGCCTACCCTTGGGACCTCATCTTAAGAGCTTACACTCAAAAAGGAAAACTCCTCCAGCACTCCTTCATGCTCATTCTACCAGATTGGTTGCAGTTTCCTGAACATTTAGACATCAAGCCTCTCTTACCCAACTTAAAAGGTCACCTGTTCTTCTGTTCATGCTTTTTCAAAGTTCTGCCAGTCAAATGTCCAATCTTCTATGGATGCTGATTTTTCACCACAGTGCTCTGATGTTGAGCCTGTTGACCCCTTTTTGCCTAGATGCAAACCCTTCTCATTCATCGCAAGGGGACATCCCAGGGTCTATAAATATTCAGTGTCCAGTACTGTACAATTGGAATACAAGGAACTTTGACTTGCCAGCAAATTCCATATTGTGGAGTACAGGAAACTGGCTACCCTCCCTTTTTGATTCTGCATTACTCTGGATTGCTTGCTATAAAACTAAGGATTTATAAATTATGGTATGTTTACGGGGAGGGGGGAAGGGGGCCTTGAGGTTTTCACAGCTCTACGACACAGCACATCCCTCTCTGCCAGTACAAGAGATCGGTGTGTGGGTTGTGTGGTGTGTGTGTTTTTTTTTGTTTTTTTTTTGTTTTTTTGTTTTTTTTTTTGTTCCCCTCTTTGCTGCAGTTTGGTACCAGAAATCTTGTCCCTTCACCCAGCCTATGACTGGGAAGGTAAAAAATCAGCAGACTGGTGAACTTAACTCCATTTCTTCCTCTCAGCATGTTCTTCGTTAGCACATAAGCACTTCAGTACAACTGATTGGGCAAATGAGAATCAGCACAAGGGGCCAGTCTCATCTCTGCTCTGCACAAGCTTACTAATCTGTTAGCAGGTCTTCATGTAATGAATACAGAGTGGCATTGATTTGTCTTCTATATCTGCCTGGAGGTTAGCCTTTTAATGTGTATATTCCATCTTGTACATTGAACCCAAAGGATAAGGGATCCCTAGGAGAAATCCTGGAAGGTGTTGGGAATAGTCAAGATCTCCTTGTTAGTTATATTACAGATGGGGTGTGTGGTTTCATCACTAAAGGCAAACTTCTGACCTTGCCTTAATCATGGGTTTCTTCTCCCTTAGCATATACATATTACATTATACAATATATTGTGTATATTTGAATTTGGCCCATTCACACGGTTCGGTGAATGGAAGATTAAAAGTCCTATCTCAATAGAGCATGGAGATGTCAATGCACTTGTAGTTCATTATGTACTTCAGTCCTATAACCAAAGATCCTTCCATATGGACCTGGGCAAACAGTGTTCAGGGGCCTGTCCATAGCACTTGTGATTCATTGATCAGTTATAATGCTTTGCAGGCTCCAGTGCATAAATTTAATGTTGGTGCATTTTATGCCTTTTTTACTTTTTCAAGTGAATGGAATATGCCTTTAAATCCTGTTTTTTGGATCCTGGCCATCTGTTTGGCAGTGTGTGGTTTTAACTTTTATTTGTTATGCAACCCCCGTT